TCGGATCAAGTCAGATCACGCCAGGTCATATAAAAACGATTGGGTCAGATCACATCAGATCAGGTAAAATCACGTCACGTCAGATCTGGTCAAATCACATCAGGTCAGATCACATCAGATCAATCCAGATAATATCAGATTAGGTCAGATTATATTACATCACATCAGATCAGGTCAAATTACATCAGATCAGGTCAAAGCACAACAGATCAGGTCAAATCATGCCAGATAACATTAGATCAGGTCAGATCACATCAGATTAGGTCAGATCACGTCAAATCACGTTATATCAGGCCAAATTACATCAGATCAGGTCAAATAACATCAGATCAGGTCAAATTACATCAGATCAAGTCAAATCATGCCAGATAACATCAGATCAGGTCAGATTACATCAGATCAGGTCATATCACATCAGATCAGGTCATATCACATCAGATCAGGTCATATCACATCAGATCAATTCAGATCAGGTCATCAGATCAGGTCATATCACATCAGATCAATTCAGATCAGGTCAGATAACATCAGATCAGATAACATCAGATCAGGTCAATTACATTAAATCATGTCAGATTACATCAAATCAAGTCAGATCACATCAGATCAGGTCGGATCACATCAGATCAGGTCAAATAACATCAGATCAGGCCAAATCGCATAAAACGGTAAGATCGGGTCAGATTACATCAGATCAGGTCAAATCATGTCAGATAACATCAGGTCAAATCGGATCACATCAGATCAGGTCAGATCAAATCAGATCAGGTCAAGTCAGATAACATCAGGTCAAATCGGACGTCAGATCACATCAGAACGGTAAGATCGGGTCAGATTACATCAGATCAGGTCAGATCAAATCAGATCAGGTCAAATCATGTTAGATAACATCAGGTCAAATCGGATCACATCAGATCAGGTCAGATCACATCAGATCAGGTCAAATCACGTCAGATCACATCGGATGATCAGATCAGGTCAGATTACATCATATCAGGTCAGATCACATCAGATCAGGTCAGATCACTTCAGATTAGGCCAGGTCACATCCAAATCGGTCAGTTCACACGTTTTTATGGGACCTGTCCTGATCTGACCTGAACTGATGAGATCTGACCTGGTACGATCACATCAAATCAGGTTAGATTAGGTCAAATCATCAGATCAGGCCAAATCAAGTCAGATCACATCAGATCAGGTCAGATCATTTCAGATTAGGCCAGGTCACATAAAAAACGGGTAGATCACATCAGATCAGGTTAAATCACATTAGATCAGGTTAAGTCACATCAGATCAGGTCAGTTCACATCAGATCAGGTCAGATCATTTCAGATTAGGCCAGATCACATAAAAAACGGTTAGATCACATTAGATCAGGTTAAATTACATCAGATCACATCACATCAGATCAGGTCATATCACATCAGATCAAGTCATACCACATCAGATCAGGTTAAATCACATCAGATCAGGTCATATCACATCAGATCAAGTCATACCACATCAGATCAGGTTAAATCACATCAGATCAGGTTAAATCGGATCAGATCAAAACAGAGATCAACTCAGGTTAGATTGTATCAGATCAGGTTAAATCACAACAGATCGGTTCAGATCACGTCAGATCTCGACAGGTCACATCAAATCAAATCAGATTAGATCAGATCAAGTCAAATCACGTCAGATCAGCTCAGAACAAATAAGATTACATCGGAACAGGGGAGATTACATTAAATTACATCACTCCACATCAGATCAGGTAACATTAGGTTAGATCACATCACACAAGGTCAAATCAGATAACAGATCAGGTCAGATCACATCACACCATGTTAGATCAGGTTAGAAACACATCATATCAGGTCAGATCACATCAGGTTAGATCAGGGCAGGTTGCATCAGATCAGGTCAGATCACATCACAGCAGTTCAGTTTAAATTCTTATTTATTTTATTATTTATTATTTAAATGTCACGATACAGAATATTACGCAATCATACATAATTTTACAGTTGTATCCAGTCCTTTTGGACTTACCTAGACACATATATAATTAGAATTAGAATACTTTTAAATAATTGTACCTAATATTTACATATTTAAGGAACACAAAAAATGTCATATTAGTAATCAAGGACAATGATTAATACATAGTTGATATTGGAAATATATACAGTATATGATATATTAATAGTAAAAAGTAAGATTTAATTAAAACTTTCTACATCTATGCAACATTCATATACGATATCCAGAAGTTTTTGTAGATAATTTTCTGCTAAGATTAGAGCATGAACAGCGAAGTTCATGCCACTTCCACTGGATTTTATTTTAAATATTTAAATGTTAGAGTAAACTAATTTGAACCTTAGTGGTTAGAGCCCGTAAAGGCCACGGTCGCTAAAGGGTTAATCAAAGCACGGAAGAGCATGGTGTGTCTGAATGCTCATTTATGGTAAATAATTCATTGTTTGAGATACATTGTCCGTGCCTATATTGTATTTTTGTGGGCAAACAGTAGATCGATCTGTATTAAGGTGTTATGACATAAGTAAAAGAAATAGAATAAGATAAACGTTTTTACGCAAACACACTAGATATATTGTGCACATTTTTATGCGCACACCGGTACACGCATACCTGTAATGAGGTATATTCAACTAGTGTTCGATGGGTGTCAGTCTATTAAAAAAATTCAAGAAAAATATTTGCTAAGAAAAAATAAATAAACAAATAGTAGAGCCAATGATAAAATCACATAAACACACACACACACACACGTTATATTTATTGGTTATAATTTAATTGCCCCTGCAAAATTAGTACGTCCTTTGGAAAATAATCAAAAGAGAAAATTAAAAAATTAATATTCATAATGCCAAATCATTTCACATATGACAATAAGAATGGAACATGGGTTGAACGCTCACCATGATTAAGAAGATGAAGACAGCGTAGAACTCCCAAATGCCAATTCGACAGAGAAAAGGACTATTCTAAGAAGAATCTATGAAAACGAACCGTCTAAGAAACAACATAAATCTGTAGACTCACATAAATAAACTAATATCTGTATAACATGCCTCTTTTATTTCACAAAATCAGAAGTTGCAACAGTGAAACAAATCAATTTTTTTTTACAAAATGCCTTCTCAACGGAAAAACTCCGAAGGCCTTAAAAAATGCAATTGTTTTGATACATAAAAAGGGGATAGACAGGTTCTAAAACCCTACCAACCCTTAAGCCTCCTTTTAGTTACTTACAAACTGTTCACAAAAGTCATCACAGCTTACATCTCTGACGGTCTGGATTCTAACCAGCCTAGAGAACAGACAGGTTTCCGCAGTGGATTCTCAAAAACAGACCACATGTACTGTACAGTTGCGGAATTATATTTCAGTACACTTTCTGGGTCGAAGTAAACATAGCGTAAATAGTATTTTTGTTAATGAGGCTAAAACCCTCGGTAGTTTGTAACAAAGAGTGTGATTGGTCGAATGTAAATAATGAGTATATTAATTAATATTTTTTAAAACTGTCATTTAATCTTCCGTTTTTTTTCAAATAAGTGATCACAAAACATGTAATACTAGTTATCGTTGATTTTGTAGTTGGATATTCCTCAAATGCGATATCCTCGAATTGTTTGTTTATGGAAATGGCAGTACCTATGGTGTGGAGGCGGGATTTCCCCGTTCTTCCAACACAAGAAGTATCAATGATTTTAGCTTCATGCTTTAAATATCGCTGTATAGCAGCAAAATCAAACAAAAATGTGGAAAAGATCTTTGTAAATACTTCTCGTAGCTGCAGCATAATCGATCTAGTAAAATGATATACGTTTTTCTTCTTTGCCAGAACCAAACACTTATGTTGAATAAACAGAAATCGTGTTACATTAGATTCTTCTTTACAGAATGCATAGATGCTTCATGATTGTGTGTGTGTGTGTGTGTGTGTGTGTGTGTGTGTGTTGTGTGTGTGTGTGTGTGTGTGTGTGTGTGTGTGTGTGTGTGTGTGTGTGTGTGTGTGTGTGTGTGTGGCGTCCATGGAAATACGAAGTCACTGCTTAGTGACGAGTTATGAAACAGCACGTTTAATTCGTTTCGGTTATTCAGAATGTCCTTTATCTTGGGCTAAAATCTGATCATAGTTTTTTTT